TCCTATGTTTGTTTATGTGTGTTTGTATATATATATATATATATATATATATATATATATATATATCGGCATATTAGTGAACAGCTTACAGACCATAGTTTTTATCAGAAATTCGTCAAAGTTTGCACGATGTTTTTTACCAAAGATGTAGAGCTGACTAAATTTTAAATGGTCAGGGTCAAAGGTCGAGGTCACAATCAACAAAAAACTGTTTACAACAGTTTTTATCAGAAAGTCGTCAAGCTTGGCCACTATGTTCCATGATCAAAGATCTGGAAGTGAGTAAATTTTGAAGGGTCAAGTCAAAGCACGGAGGAACTGTCTGCCGTATGAACGTGTGTTCCGGTAAAGTGTAAACAAACATATGACAGACCATTAATTTCAAAGTGATATATGTGAAAACAGTTTGGTGTAGTGGTTAGAAGAGTGTTTTCCACATTACTGGCCCATCCCATGGAGTCTACTTGTGTTTTTTTTTTATTTATTTAAGGACAATATGCGTGGGAGATTTATACTGAGGAGAATTATGATGTGGGTGGAGGTATGCACTCTCCAAGTGCCCTCTAGTTCAAGACTATCACACAAGTTTTTAACTGTATATATTATCGGGCCTATTATTTTTCTTTTTTATAATTTACATTTTTTCTTTAAATTTTCAATACTCATGTTAGAAAATGATCTAGATGGTTTTCATTAAGATTACACCAATTCTTCTAGCTGGAAATGTTTATTTTGTATTTACTATAGCTTACTTAATTAAACAGATAGCCTATACAATACGTGGACCATACTGCGATTATCAAACCAACAAGACAGACGTCCCAGCTTATATGGAGTCTAATGGTACCATTTGGATCATCTGAATTCTCGACACATTTATCAAATTTCGTAAAATCTACCTGGTTTATAGAACACAGCTGCGTGATCTTGCATTCATCCGTACATGGCTGTGTATTATAACTTACACTGTTGAATAAGTAATATCGATTGAACAAAACGTCACTAGTTTCAAAACCATTAACCAATGACTGCAATGATGCGGTTGTGACATCAGGAATATCGTAATCTTTGATGGCGCTATACTCTCGTTTCCACATTGAACTGTCTGCTGAATCAACCTCGCTCAGGTCAAGATAGTATTGTTCCCAGTTCATAAGTAATCCGTCTTCTCTATTGAATGTGAATAGACGAACGCTAGGATTGTTAGGGCCGACACCGGCTAAAGAAGTATTCCATGGCGTCACTGCCGGGGCAAGAAATAACGAACTAATTGCTTTCCCTAAAAATAAAACAAAAATCTAAGTTTAATGAGCGCACGCGTCAAACCAACCTTATTGCAGACAAATTACAATACTGTACTGTTTATTTAACTACAATTATTCCTACAACAAATTTGAGATACTTTTATTAATCTTTAGGCTTACGAACACTCCATATTATGTTACTTTATAATACATCTCTCCTAATAAATCGTTACAAATTCGTTTCAAAATTCGCACATATGTAATGAGAACAAACCTTCATCATCATAGAATAACCTGAAGCTGTCATCATGTTGATGAGCAAACAACTGGAATGCAATGACGTCGTGAAATTGTTGAATTACTTCAATATATTGCGCGTTGAACTCTGGGTAAAACCAACACTTTCCCCGCGATCGTTCAAAACATCCCGGTGGCACATGTCCAACAATAACGACCTGTGAATAATCAACGCCATAATATATATTGAAATATAATTTACTTATATTTCCGAATACAGTAATCACTTTAATAATCACTTTTGTTGTAGTTGCAGCTTTTATTTTTATGCTATACTACCGTACCTCATGTACACAATTATAAACTGACACACATATTGAGATGATTTAATAGAAGGAATTGGTTACCGTTTCATTATCACGTCGAGCGTCTGTTAGCACTTGTTCCAGCCAGCTGAATTGTCCAGCCGGGTCCGAAATATCCATGGTCAGTTTATTATTGGTGTAATAGAAGACTGTGTTCAAACCCACGAACCGATAAGGTTCTATCTTAGCAGTGTAATACGTTTCTGAAATTAATACACATATATATCGTTTGTTCAAACGAAAAAGAAATAATTGTGTATGCCTTGGATTAAAAACAAACCGGGTATTTAATTCCAAGGTAATACATCACACACATTGAAATGAATAGCAGCTGGTGTGTGGCTCTTCATATTGTATCCATAACATAAGCCATAAACATATAAAATGTACAATATGGAATGCTATAATTTAGTTAATAACAACAATAACTCAATTAGTGCACATTTATTCTTTGGTGCATAGTAAAATAATACAATACAATTGCCAGGATATTGCAATCACATCTGCTTTGCAATTAAAAACGTATGGGATGATTTAAAGCTACAGACATGTGTGTATTGAATATTCTGATCTAGTATTATAATTATACAAATAAAGAATAGGCCTATATAATAATTAAATTAAAATATTTATTCTCTTATACATTCGATATTTTCTATTAGTTTAATTTTGCTATATTCGCTGCTCAAAATCACAACAAAATAAAATAATCAATAACAATGATAAATATATTATTTTCATTATTGTCAGTAGGCCTAGACTCTTTATATAATAGGCCTAATTAGTAAAAAAGGGTGATTGTGTTTGTTATTTACAATAAATATCATTACAAATGAATATATTATTAAATAATATAATAATATTTTTATTCTCTGATACATCGGTTTTTACTATTAGTGTAATTGTGCTAGGCCTATATTTGTTGCACAAAATCACATGTATGATAATACAAATAATTAGATATTAATAATTTTAAACCACGTAGATAGTTTTGAAAAGAACTGTTATTTGTTGAGAAGACATTCTCAACAAGCAAAACAGCTTTTTTCAGAACTGTCCACGTGGTGTACCGCAAGCATTAAATATATTATTACTTCGCCATACAAACCTTTAAACACTAATATTGGTATTATTATTATTTTATTATCAACATCATCATCATCATATAAGCATAGCTTTTAAAAGGGTTACTTTCTTTGTTAGTTGCAATAGATATCATTGTGTTCATTGTTGATGTGACATTCCTCTCGCTTTTTAAGCCACATTTACACTAGACACGATTACAACACGACAACGACATCATCGCGTAGTTTGTGGCTATGTTCTCACACGGCTGCTAACGGTTAGCAGGATCCGGATCTTACCGTAGCTGCCGTGCGTACATACTAAAAAATCCAGATCCGGATACCAAAAATATGATGATCGAATCACTGGCCAATAAGAAACTGGAAATGTAAACGCGTACGTGTGATTGGTATATGATAAAAACGTGCTCAACTTGCTAACCGATAGCGCTTGCTAACCGTTAGCGGTATCCGGATACTGCTAACGGTTAGCGCTAACCGATCGGGCGTTCTCACGCAGGTGCTAACGATTAGCGCTAACGGTTAGCTCCGGATACCAGAGCTCTCGTGAGAACCAGGCTTGATAGCGCTTGCTAAACGTTACCGGTATCCGGATACTGCTAACGGTTAGCGCTAACCGATGATCGGGCGTTCTCACGCAGGTGCTAACGGTTAGCTGCTAACGGACCGCTCCCGATCCGGATACTAGGGCTCTCGTGCGAACCAGGCTATCGACACTCCTGTAATCAATACAAACAAATAATATAATATCGTAAAATGGGCTTAATCTCGAGAAGAAGCCCATCTCGAATTGAAGCCCTCTCTTTTTCTGTTTGCAAAAGTAGCCTCGAAAAGAAGCCCTCTCAAAATGAAATCCTAGGGCCTCTTTTCAAGATAGCATAGGCTTCTTTTTGAGACAGTACAGTACATACGCTGTACATGAATTTCAAAGAAACAAAATAAACAATTAAAATACGATTGGTTTATACAGTAGGTGATTTATTGGTGGTTAATAACTTTATTATACAGACTGATGTTACAGTGGCCTTATTATTAGATTTGAAACAGACTGTAGAAATTTTAAAAGCGGAACTGAAACTATTTATTCTGTGACAGAACCGCAGATAACTGCAAAATACAGTCGTGTTTTACAATTGTTTGTTTCAAAACAATTCAATTTCATTTTGACATGATAAAATACAAATATTTTATGCAAACACAAACGAACAAAAAAGAAACCAACAGTGCATATATATATGCTATACAATTATTTTAGCGTAAATGCGAGATAGGTTAAATGTTATAAATAAATTAAACAAGAAATGTATTGTTACAAAAGATATAAAAATATTTGCAAATTAAACCAAATAAACCAAACAACAAGTCTGTGTTATACAGACTGATGTTACAGTGGCCCTATTATTAGAATTGAAACAGATTGTAGAAATTTTAAAAGCGGAACTGAAACTATTTATTCTGTGACAGAACCGCAGATAACTGCAAAATACAGTCGTGTTTTACAATTGTTTGTTTCAAAACTTTCAATTTCATTTTGACATAATAAAATACAAACATTTTATGCAAACACAGACGAACAAAAAAGAAACCAACAGTGCATATAATATATATGCTATACAATTATTTTAGCGTAAATGCGAGATAGGTTAAATGTTATAAATAAATTAAACAAGAAATGTATTGTTACAAAAGATTTTAAAATATTTGCAAATTAAACCAAACAACATTGCACGCATCTGTATCTTGTCGTTTGTCGTGTCGTAATCGTGTCTAGTGTTAATGTGGCTTTAACCTGATACTATTAATTTTGATGTACCTGTAAAGCTCTGTCCACACTGTCAACATTTTTTGTGACAAATAAATGTGATATGTCCATATTTGGATGTACTATGACATTATCATGTCCATATATGGTCACATTACACAAATCTTGCATATTAGAAAATGTGGTGGACAGAGCTTCAGCCTACAATGCGCGTACTGCGTGTGAACTCTTGCACATAATATTAGATAACTAATTGATCTTACTTTCTCTGAATAAATCGGTAGCCCCTGGAAATTGATCCAACCACGGCTGCCATAAATCGGTGACATTACTGTAGAAGGCTGTGGGGTTCGGTGGCATCTGATGTTTTGGGTGATAATCGTGGTTGCCGAATACAGGTATGAACTTAGTATTGGGGAACGCATCCATTAATAGTTCTGTGATGTTGAAGATTGTAGAAAGCACCTTGTCTTCATTAAGCATCGAATTTGGGACATGTGGGGTATCGTCTCTAGATAATAAAATATGCTGTGATTAATAACGAATTAAAGAATGAGGTTCCAAGTGTTAAATATATATTTATTTCCTCAATAATAAAATCAGTGATTAAAATCATTTACCCTGTCCATATAATGAAATCTGGATTCGGTTCGATAGTTTGCATAGCATACACACTGGCATTAACAAGAGTCCATGGAGAATCACAGTCATAATCTCCTAGGGCCTCTGGTTGCCTAGTATCACCACTGTCTCTTATACACATCTAGATGTGTATAAGAGACAGGTGTTTTGACACAACCAGCCTAAACTACCAGAAAGATGAAGGTACAGTACAATTCTTGGATTCATTCAAAAGCAACAATGGCTGTCTCTTATACACATCTAGATGTGTATAAGAGACAGCTTTTATAGTATGCTTGATTGCCAATGTTCTGATATTATTGAGACCTCAGTATGTATGACTCGTAGGTGTTTCATCCAGTTAACAGTTAATAATGTGAGGCGTACAGAGGCTTTGTTGGCTTGATGCGCTACCTGTATATAAAAACTGGTGTATTGTCATTACTGTACTATATTCCTGCTGGTGGCTTGTGTACAGTGAGTAACCAAGAGTACGAAGCAATGAAATCATGAAAATTGTTTAATGTACAGTATGCCATGTACAGTACTTATGTATATATTTGTATAGAACAATTTAGGCAAACGTAAGCAATACCGCTACTCTTACGCCCGTTAACTACATTCAGTTTTTAATATGAATCACAGTATTTATAGGCATGTAGCTTTTTCACAAGAGAGATTAAGGCTATGTTCTCACACGGCAGCTAACGGTTCGCAGGATCCGGATCCTGCTAACCGTTAGCTGCCATGCGTCCATACGACCAAGATCCCGATCCAGATACCAAGAATATGATGATCGAATCACCTGGCCAATAAGAAACTGGAAATTGTAAACGCGTACGTGTGATTGGTTGATGATAGAATCGCGCTCAACTTGCTAACCGATAGCGCTTGCTAACCGTTAGCGGTATTCGGATACCGCTAACCGATTGGGCGTTCTCACGCAGGTGCTAACGGTTAGCGCTAACGGTTAGCTCCCGATCCGGATACTAGGGCTCTCGTGAGAACCAGGCTAGCGCTAACGGTTAGCTCCCGATCCGGATACAAGGGCTCTCGTGAGAACCAGGCTATTGACACTCCGGAAAGGTCCATTAAATGCCTCTTTGGAGTAATCGATACAAACAAATAATATAATATCGTAAAACTTCGAATAGAAAACCAATGGGCTTAATCTCGAGAAGAAGCCCATCTCGAATTGAAGCCCTCTCTTTTTCTGTTTGCAAAAGTAGCCTCGAAAAGAAGCCCTCTCAAAATGAAATCCAATGGCTTCTTTTCAAGATAGCATAGGCTTCTTTTTTAGACAGTACAGTACATACACTGTACATGAATTTCAAAGAAACAAAATAAACAATTAAAATACGCTTGGTTTATACAGTAGGTGATTTATTGGTGGTTAATAACTTTATTATACAGACTGATGTTACAGTGGCCCTATTATTAGATAATTGAAACAGACTGTAGAAATTTTAAAAGCGGAACTGAAACTATTTATTCTGTGACAGAACCGCAGATAACTGCAGAATACAGTCGTGTTTTACAATTGTTTGTTTCAAAACTTTCAATTTCATTTTGATATAATAAAATACAAATATTTTATGCAAACACAGACGAACAAAAATGAAACCAACAGTGCATATAATATATATGCTATACAATTATTTTAGCGTAAATGCGAGATAGGTTAAATGTTATAAATAAATTAAACAAGAAATGTATTGTTACAAAAGATATAAATATTTGCAAATTAAACCAAATAAACCAAACAACATTGCGCGCATCTGTACCTTGTCGTTGTCGTGTCGTAATCGTGTCTAGTGTTAATGTGGCTTTAACCTGATACTATTAATTTTGATGTACCTGTAAAGCTCTGTCCACACTGTCAATATTTTTTGTGACAAATAAATGTGATATGCCCATATTTGGATGTAATATGACATTATCATGTCCATATATGGTCACATTACACAAATCTTGCATATTAGAAAATGTGGTGGACAGAGCTTCAGCCTACAATGCGCGTACTGCGTGTGAACTCTTGCACATAATATTAGATAACTAATTGATCTTACTTTCTCTGAATAAATCGGTAGCCCCTGGAAATTGATCCAACCACGGCTGCCATAAATCGGTGACATTACTGTAGAAGGCTGTGGGATTTGGTGGCATCTGATGTTTTGGGTGATAATCGTGGTTGCCGAATACAGGTATGAACTTAGTATTGGGGAACGCATCCATTAATAGTTCTGTGATGTTGAAGATTGTAGAAAGCACCTTGTCTTCATTAAGCATCGCATTTGGGACATGCGGGGTATCGTCTCTAGATAATAAAATATGCTGTGATTAATAACGAATTAAAGAATGAGGTTCCAAGTGTTAAATATATATTTATTTCCTCAATAATAAAATCAGTGATTAAAAACATTTACCCTGTCCATATAATGAAATCTGGATTCGGTTCGATAGTTTGCATAGCATACACACTGGCATTAACAAGAGTCCATGGAGAATCACAGTCATAATCTCCTAGGGCCTCTGGTTGCCTAGTATCACCATTCTCTATGGTATCACGGCAGCTGGACAGTGGGTAAATGCCATTACCATAAAATTGATCATAATGGAAGTCTGTGACGTGCCAAAACTTTCCTAAAATAAAAAGACACTAAAGAAGATTAACTTTATTTTTCAATATGGTGTTTTGGTTCTTTTTTGGTTATCCAAAATTAGTTTTAAAATATACTTTTATCGCCATGAACAGTGGCTTGATTCGGCGTTTATAGTTCATTTGCTTTAAATCTGCGCTTCCCTAGCCTTTTTCTATAAAGTTGTGATTTTCCAGATTAGCCGCGACCCACCTAATAATTGGATAGTAAATTGTACATCGGCCTTTATATTAAGATCCCCAAAATTTGATGCTCTATGTTTTAAAAAATGATTACTTGACATTGGTGTTACAGCAGTTTTTGTTCACTACGATCGTCCTTTTTTGTGAGAAAATTGGAAAACAGTGGTGGTTCTAGGAATTCGCAATAGATAGGGACCAAGGAAGGATTTTCACAGATAGAGTGCACACCTTCTTAGCTCCACCATGGATAATTTAAATAATTTTTCTTCCATTTTTGTATTTCAAAAACTTGTGGGAGGGGGGCTGTCTATTTGAGACGAAAATAAGATCACTTCTTTGCAGGAAATATTTTCAATCTTTTAGTTACAGTATATCATTGATGAACTTAAACCTTAATCTCAACCCTGTGGTTACTATAAATAATTGTATCAGCCAAAATACATACGAGGGGCTTTTTAGCTGTAGGCCTATATAGAAAAATTAATTTCATTATTATTGTTTGAAGGTCTGCATGGCGAAGTAATATATTAATGCTTGCGGTACACCACGTAGACAGGCGTGGCGCCAGGATTTGCCCAACTTGGGGACTGACGTCCCTGACGTAAAAAGGTGGGCGTGGCAGGGGTGTTGCTCAAAAGTGTTCCGAAATTGTGCCAGGGGCGAAGCCCCCGAAAAATACGACAATTTAATGGTTTCCAAGGCTTATTTAATCTATTTTAGAGAGAACTAAATAGGCCTATGTAGAAAATACATATACATTTTATCTCTTCCCCCACCCCACCCACCCAGCCCAAACTGGCGCCACCTCTGCACGTAGGTAGTTCTGAAAAGAACTGTCGTTGTTGGTTGAGTATAATATGTATTCAATCTCTGTCTATAAATATCTATAAAAATGATGTGAGACGGTTGGTAACTATGAAAAATGCTGCGGTTCCGATTATCTCAAATAAGGCCAAATAAAAAGCTTCATAATTGTTATTCAAAGTATCGGAGATGTATTTAATCTCATAATTCACTTCAATTACGCCACTTCCACTTCTGGTTCGTTTGGTCATATCGCCTTATTGTTTGTTTTACGCCTCATGTTTGCTTTCCGCATTTCTGTTTTCTTTGTTCAAATTAGTAAAGCCAAATTGTCAACACGGATGTAGACTTTACGCCCCTGACTCAGGGTCTATATCGACACACTAAAAGTTGGGATGAGAGACATTTTGACGCAAAGCGTCAGCCATGTTATCAGTATAATGTATTGTAATATATTATTATTATTATTATTATTGTTATTATTATTATTGTTATTATTATTATTATTATTATTATTATTATTATTATTATTATTATTATTATTATTATTATTATTATTATCACATTGAATGTTATATTCAGCCATAAAATTACCTCGTACTCGTAGTGGGATGAATAGTCTCCTATCCTTGTATCACAGCCAGCGGGGCTTAACTTATCGGCGGGGTCATTGGACGTTACGGGACTAAGTCCTAAAAGCTCAGACTCCGAATCGAAACTTCCTCTAAATGTCCAATTGCTAAAACACTAACGACCAAATGTTTATGTTATGCTATATAGGGCAGCTATAGTATTTAGTTGCCATTCGCACAGTATTGTGCCCCATTCCGGGAAGTTGGAAAGGGGAAGACTAATTATAAGTTGCATCCAAACACTAAGTTGGTAAGTATGATGCATGTATAGGCCCATCGTCCAGGAAATAAAAACACTACAGGCTTACAGGCTTACACTCAATATGAATGAATATTGAACCGGAAAAGCAGCTTTGTTGTTTGACAGTCATCTGAAAAACTCTCCACCACAATACCGTACAAGAACTAAACTTCTCAGTTTGTTCAGTGAGCTCAGGTCAACCTTTTAAACAAGTGCTAATTTAAAAATAAGAATTTGACGAAGTTTATTCTAACCTGCATTTTCTGATGAACGATATGGTCCACAGACAACTATCTGTACGACAGTTGAAACTATGATCCAAGTTGACGCAGTCATTATTATAAATGCTCAGTTAAAATGCAGCTTACATTTCACAATGATGTGATTACTAATATGTTACTAATCAAATCGAGCAGAAAATTAGGGAAATCCCCTTATGTACGTAAAGTGGTACGTATTCGGTAAGTCCAATTTAGGAGTTGGGCCAATCAGATTCAAAGTAAAATCACTCTATTATAATCATAATCCTTTCTTCTTTTACTCCTTTTGACTATAGAAAAACGCCATGCAGTAGTTCTTCCGTTAATTATTCAGTGCTTTAGCACGAAGCCACGTCCACGATTTATAAATCCATGTATCACAGTAATGCACAAAATAATGGAAATTATTTTAAGTTGTGTCCAATATGAAAATACTGTATACTACATTAAGAGAATGGAATGAGGTTAGTGCAAGTGGCTGAAGGTAATCGCTAATAATGCTGAGATCTTTGTAAAGGCCAAAATGATGGGTTTTGTATTGAAAATATTATTTGTGAGCGTGCGTTTACTAATACGAGCCTGAAATTAACAGCGATTATAGCAAACAGGACTGCAAAAAACCTAACCTGCTATTCGTCCATGATAACCTGTGTGACCACAATATTTTTCCAGTCAAACCTAAATATATCTGACAGGGGCAGATCAAGAATTTTTTATTAAATAGGGGGGGGGGGTGGGCACAATGTATTTAGAATAGATGTGAGAGCGCTAATTTCAATATACGGTATGCCTTGAAATTAAAAAATTTCGTGGCAAAACAGGGGGAACGTGTCCCCTCCCACTTCACTGGTTCCGCCCCTGTATCAAGAAAACGCTAATGAAAAGACTCGAATGCAGCCCCCGGTCCTGACAATACGGATGGAATTTAAAAGAAATTTGCTTGCTACCATCCTATTCTTGCAACACTTAGTGAAACTGGAATTTCTCCTTCCTCTTGGAATACAGCAAAGCAGTGATGGCGCCAATAAATTCGCCTAGTGGAAAACCAAAGCTGGTTTTCCACTAGGCGAATTTATTCGCGCGAGTCAAAGCGTCGCCTCGCTTCCTGAGCTCTGATTGGTTGCGCATTTTTTCGCTTCGCAAAAACTCCGATAGGAATGTGAATGCGCATGTGCATAAGCCGACGCTTTGGATTCGCGTGAATAAATTCGCCTAGTGGAAAACCAGCTTCAAGGCCTGTTTACACTTCAACGATAACGATAACGATAAAAATGCTTAAAAGAAATTGTTCATATAGAAAACAAAAGAAATAAGAGAAGTTTTACACTAGGACGATTCTATAACGATTTATCGTGTACCGGTACGGAATAACAAAATATTTTAACAAATCAAATCAGATGACGTCATAATCATGGACAAACGATAAAATCATTGCTACTACGACGATTTTAATGTTTTCCATGACTATGACGTCATCTGATTTGATTTGTCAAAATATGTTGTTATCGCATAACTGATAAATCGTATCGAATTCTAGTGTAAAAACTTCTCTTATTTCTTTTATTTTCTATATGAACAATTGCTTTTTAGCTTTTTTATCGTTATCGTTGAAGTATAAACAGGCCTTTAAGCTGGTTTTCCACTAGGCGAATTTATTCGCGCGTATCAAAGCGTCTGTTCGCTTCATGAGTTCTAATTGGTTGCGCATTTTTTCGCTTCGCAAAAACTCCGATAGGAATGTGAATGCGCATGTGTGCATAAGCCGACGCTTTGGATTCGTGTGAAGAAATTCGCCTAGTGGAAAACCAGCTTAAGAGTAAATAAAAAGCATTTCCAGTCTGATCACTGTCTATTAGTAACCACCCTAGGAGGACACCAGAAAATAAAGCAGCCGCCGGGTGGAAACCAAATAAGCGTAAAATAAAAAGCTCAAGACCAGACATGAACACTCTAAAATCCTGCTTCTCAACTTTTTTTAGATGGCGACCCATTCAGAATACATGTGGCAACCCAGAGGCATATCGTACTCGCGCGAATAAGCGCCCGGACGCAATTATTTTTGGCTCTTTTTGAGGGGCGCTAGGCTAATTCAAACGGGGCGCTTATGAAAACAGAGTGGAAATTGAGGGACCGATTATGGAAATAGCCTAGATGAAAATTGAAGGGGTGCTTATGGGAAATTGGAAAATTCAAGGGGCACTTTTTTTTTAATCGAAGATAAACGAATAGTTTGGTGAAGAAAAGGTAATCGTCGAGAGAGCATGGCTCATGCCAAGAATTTTCAGTGGCGGATCTAGGGGGTGAATAGAATTGCTAGCCACCCCCTTCGTTTACCGTGAACAATAAAACGATGGTCACTCTTATTGTTTGTGGTCCTCGTGTACTCTCGATTGTACTTTCGATTTTAAGCTTACTTCTTTTCAGATGCCATTTAAGATCGTCTAGCAGTCTACTAATTTAAAAAAAAAAATCCCTCCAAAAAATACCTCTTCCCACTGGTGCCTTCTCACCTCCCATTATCCCCCCCCCCCCCACATTGCTAAATCCTAAACCCGCCAAATTAGTGGTGGTGTTTGCGTGGTGGTAAGCGTGTTGGCCATCTGCCTAGCAGGATCATTGCAGGGTTTCTTGCTTAGATACGAGAGTGATGTCAGTTTATTTTTGTTCACTGAAAATTACCATACATTATTTTAATTTTCTGGGGCGGATGCGGATGCAATACTGTATGATTGAATTTTTGTAGGAATCGAGGGGCGCTTAATAAAAATTGAGAGGGGGTGGGGCCGCTTATTTAAAGCCCCATTCCCGGCAAAATTTCAATTTTTAAGAAAAATCTAATTTTTGTATAATGTTATTCGCGCGAGTACGGCACAGTATTGTAATACCACGCAAAATGATATTGTCATGTTATGTGTTGATTAAAAAGGACAATGACGAGTATGATGAGACACGAACGCTGCAGTGGCGACACCAGGATATATTTTATGGGAGGAGGTAGGCTGAGTTGACCGACAGGGGAACTTGAGCTCATAACATCGAGCTGGGGGAAGGGTTTAAGAGGGGTTCTCCCTCCCAAATGAGATTTTTTTTAAAAGAATAGCAACCTCTGGATGCCGAGAAATGACACTTTCAGACTGTGACAGACATGTGTTGGCTTGCGGCGTGGGCCTATTTTTATATTTTTTTAGTCCGACTGCCCTACGAGCTCTGTCCTATTTAGGGGGGGGGGCGGGCTTGACCTGTGCGGTGGGGAGACTTAAGAGCCTGCTGCATCCCCCACCCCGCTGGCGCCGCCACTGGAACGCTGGCCTACAGACAGTAAGGAATATCCAATCAATCAATTGGTATAGCGCTACAGGCGTTTCATACATTTTGAGCGCGGCCGCTTTGTGACCATGCTCCTTCGAAAGTTTGTAAACATCTATCTAGTTTTATCGCAAAAGTAGCCGCTGGCAGCTCGCTGAGCTAGCGACCACAAAAACGGCGTAATTGTGAAATACTGTACTGTATATTTGTTGTTGTTGAAAAACGTACTTTTGTGAGTGGTTGAATCATGTAAATATGTTGTGAGAGTGAGAAAAACATTGGAGTAAAAAAAATTAAGTATTGAAATTTACCTAGGCCTAGGCCTACCCTGGGCCTAGGCCTAGGCCCTAGGCTTAGAGCAGGGAGTTGTTATAGTGAAAACTCCCTGCTTAGAGCTAGGTGCGAAAGTTCATTAGGGTACATAGCTAAGCCAACATAGAAACATAAGGATAACTTGAAGTTGATATCTGGCGTGGATTTGAATGTAGGCCTAAGTTGGCCTAAACAGACAGGGTCCCAAGTTGGAAGAAGTCGTCGTCTACGAGGGAGATACAGTAATTTCACTGATGAAGGTTCTAACTAGTATCATTCTAAGCATTATACTAAGTATTTTACTAAGTAATATTTCTCTGAAAGCAAAATAATTAAATATGAATGTCTGTCCCTCAGAAAATTACAGCAATTGTAGAAGGATATCATATAGCAGCATTATGGAAGTGGAAAAGATTAAGGGTAAAAGAATTTTTTATCGTTTCTTTTATGAAAGAGTTGGTTTTATTGATCTGCCTGCCATTAGCAATGTTGTTAATGAAATAGGCAGTGGCTAAACCGCACCTAATTTCAAATGGATGATATTGTATGTGTGGATTGGATTATAATACTATCCAATCAGAATTAAGAATTGGTTTAAGACTTGTTTAACAATAGCCACTGTCAAGAAGTGGGTGACAAACAGAAAATTTGCTTGGCCCCATGAGTGCTTGGACACTAGGATAAAAAAAAAATTAAATTCAATTAAAAATGTCATGTGAGGTGGTGTTTTTTTTTTATTTGATTTGAATTTATTTGGTTCCACTTTACATAAAAATACAATATTATGAAAATAATCTTAAAACAACCACAAAAAAATTAAAATTTAAAAGGCACCATATAAAAGTAGTTAAAGGAATGCATTCTTTATGACCTTTTCATGTTATAGTTAAATTTTAAATTTACGTTGATATTTATTCTAATGTAGGATTTCCATTTAAATCCATGACTTAAATTGAATATTGATATTAATTTTCTACCTGATACAGAAATCACTGAAGAACAATTCATGGAGCTTTTGTCAGTTGTTTCAGACTGGTATGACAAGCATAATCTAGTCAGTGCCCTGAAGGTTTTGTACACAGATCACGTGCCTAATAAGTTTGAGGTGCATAAAGCAGACAAAACAAGAGACTTACTGGAATTGTTGATTAGTTCTGGTGATATAGATTCAACGGATATTTCCTTAATATATGATACAATTATTGCAACTAACCATTTTGGCTTGGTAAAGGAGTTAAAAAAACGAATACCTTCATTCCCAAATGTAAAGGAAATGAATATATCAAAACTTGAAATCCACCGACAAAGACTAATAAATCTTGCAAAAACGCTGTGCTTGGAGGATACTGAGAAAATCAGTGGCTACTATATTACTCCAGTAAAGAAATATACAGACAGCTGGAGTTTGATTATGGATCTTGAAAAACAAAGGATAATTTGTGCCGACAAGATGGAGTCATTCATCAAAAAACTGAGGGATCTTGGCCTACATTCGGCTGTTGAAGCACTTGGTAAACCTATTGTATGTAATGTTAACCTTAAGTTAAGCAGCATAGCTTAGTTCAGTAAACTAGTGGTATACAGTACCCACTGTGTGTGCGCTGAACTGTGTAGATCCTTTTAGAAATTTGGTCCCTGGTTTATTTCCTTCACCACTCTTTTTGTACAGTATTTCAGTTAGCGGACACACTGTCCTTTCAAAGAGACTTTAAAGGCGTTGGTCTAGTGTGGAATATGATGCAATATACTCTTCATAAAAATGCAAGGAATATTATACACCACGCAGTAGTCGATATCAGGTAGTCTATTTCCCTGTGTCTGCGCAAATGTGCATGCACAAGAAAGTAGTAAAATGCATATTAATGTGGAATTGACCAATGAAATGTTGTTTAACCTAATTAATAATTATGAGGTTTAGTAATACAGTAGTGGTTATAAACACACCTAAAGAGATCCCTGTCATTTGATTGGTTGATTTCGTATCACATGACATTGGTTACTTACCCATGTTGTCACTCATCGCAGAAAATTATTTCCATACGTGCATTTGCTTTTCATCCGTTTTTGCCCATTGCATGCCGCCTAGGATATGATTTGACTTCAACCTAATAGAATCTTTTGATTGGTTAAAAAGATGCTGGACTGTTCCATTTGGAAAAATGTTAGATTTTTAAAAATAAAATATCGAATTACAAGAATCTCCAAAAAAAGGTGGATTCATTTAATAAAATATCAAATTACAAGAATCTCCAAAAAAGGTGGATTTATTTAATAAAATATAAAATGACAAGAATCTATTGTATGTGTGTTATAAAACAAATAATTAATGTTTTTTATTTGTGCAATGGAAAGAATATTGAGATGAAAAATTGACTTTTCCATTCAACTCCGCTCTGCCTCTCGTTGAATGGAACAGTCAATCTTTAAACTCATGAAAATATTTTTCCCATTGTACTCATAAACATTCATTATTTGTATACTATCCAATAGCACTTCAGACACATATTTTTTATGAATACAGTTTAATATTATTTTTTTGTTAGTAATAATTGTCTCAATTATCTTTTTTTCCATACACCAAAGGCACATTGATCTCCAACCGATTGAAAGATACATGTAGGCCAATCTGTCTCTCAGTGTCATGGTGTGATTGATTTTATAGATAAAAGACATTCATTCAATTATCTTAGTCTTTTCTTATCAAACTTACAGAAAGTGAACCTAAAAGCGGATGTACTCCACCAGATTGTGCAGGTAGGTAACACTCTGCTTTTCATCTTTTTAAACTATTCAGGAAAACTGTACAGATGTTGCTGATATGTATAAAACAAAACTAATTTTATTTCTATATATGCATTTCCTTTTTTTTTATTGAATACACAAATAAATAATAATGATGAAATATTTTAATAAATTGAAACAAAATGTTGTCTTTAACTGTGATTTAGACTTTCGTCTAAGTAATAAATTTTGGAATCTTAGTACCAGAATACTTTATAAACAATATTGACCAGAATTTACTTTTGTATTCTGTTTAAATTTCTACCAATGACATATTGCATAGTTGATTTATATGGAGATTTGAAATTTTTTTTTTCTATTTAACAAAAACATTTGTGAGAACAGACATTTGGAAAAGATAGTATAATACATACTCCAAGTATCGAAATGTACACCATCGTGTGACGATTCAATATTTCAACATTAATAATGCGTCATCATTCCTGATGACATAATTAATGTTGAAATATCGAATCCCGACACGATTGCGTGCATTTCGATACATGGAGTATTTGTATTATACTATCTTATCTGAGATTAATCAGTGGACATTTGGAAAGTAAAATAATTAACCCCTCTAAATGCGTATATGCCGCAATTTGGACTATCGCTGAGAATCTCAGTTGCCTAGGTAGTTATATATATTTTTTTTTATAACTTATTAAGTTATGATAACATTTCAGTAATATACATACAGGGCATATATATACTGTTTTGAAAATGGTCCTGGTATCTAATGCAACTACCATAAACTAACACAAAATTAATTAATTGAAAGGCAGTGATTATTATTTTTTCCCCATAATGAATATATATCTTTTTATTTTATTTTATTTATTCATTTTTTTTTTTTTATAGTTTTTTACTTATTGACCATTTATTTTATGCCTATTTCAGTCCAGATTGGGGCAGTTATTCTCTTGCAGAGTCCCTCACCTGTTTGCAATTCATATAAATATACATCATGTTTAATAAAAAGTGTAACTCGTTAGTCTATGTCATTTCTTATATAATTAATATACAGTATGCAGTGGCAGATCTAGGATTTAGACATGGTTTTGGAAAGGGCGCAGATGTGTTTTGAAACCTCAGGACCACCATGTTTGGGTGACATCTACTGTCATGCAATTTAACTGAATTTTAATATGCTGTTAAATTTAAGCTTCTTGAATCTGTTGTTGTGATCTGATTTTGTGAATTTTATGTGCGTGTGATGTTCTTACCAATTTGAGTTTTAAATTCATTATTTTCTGTGTTGCATTTTGATTGAATTTTATATGCTGTTGAATTTTAGCTTCCTGAATTTTAGCTCCCAATTTTAACTTTTTCTTTGTAAACTTGCTTCCTTGTCTATTTCATTGTATGTGCATTTGAAAATATTTTAATGGAATTTGCGCAATATGAATGAATAAATTATTGATTATTATTATTAGGAATATGTTAAGTTCTATGACAATAAGTTTTTGATGAAAGCTGTCACATTAACTTATGTGTTTTTTCTTTTTCATTTACAGCAATTGATGTGACAGTAAAACCTAAGTCTGAAACTGAGCCTGTTGAATACATTGAATCTCCTCTTTTCTTACTTGAAAAAGTTTTAAACAATGTTGGAAAACTTAAGTTTGAAGAATTTAAGCAATTTATCAAGGTGCATAAAGAGATTGCAATATATTTTCAAGAAATTCAAGCAAGTGTTTGTAACATAAGTACGGGAAGCCTAGTATTTCATCTAACTGTATCGGATCCTGCTGCTTTACAGTTTTTATGGAAAATACATAAAAGTAAAGATCTCATTAAACATTTAGCAAAGCTATTAGTGTCGAAGAAGTTTCAGCAGGATTTTTTAGATAAGTGGACCACAGAAATTGACAGAGATCAATATGAAGCTGGTCTCAGAAAACTTGAATGGAAAGGTAAGAGAATGCGCAACTTATTTAAAAAATGAAAATAAATTTTAAATTAATACGCTGTATTAAAATTTCTAACAAATTTATTAGTCAGTGATTGCTTCAAATATTTACCGAAAAGAGTCCAACAGGGAATTGATCCAAGAGCAGCCTTAGCATCTGGTCAGGGTTGAAACCCATGGGGAGGAACAAGTATAGTGAAGTTGAATAGCTTAGTGCTTGCCTTCTAATCCCAGGGTCCTGTGAGAGTGGGACTTCTTCACGTGACTAAAAAGAAGTCCATTTCCTAAACCTCATAAAGAGACTTCTCTGATAAACTTGCCTAACTTGAATAATTTTTTAAGTCCTTCAATCTTATTTTACATGCCAAATTGTTGTGTTTTTCATTAATTAACGATCTGCAAGTCAAATTTTATCTAAGTCAATTCCATTTGGAATTGGATTTATTAAAGTTTAACTGTATTTCATTTATTTAAGGAGGGCCCCTTGAATATCAGCCAACCTTCTAGGATATGCTGAAAGGGTCACCCTCTATAAAGATGGTAAAAAAGAAAAAGAAAGTGAATCTTCTAGTGTTTACGTGTAAGATGGTGAAGTTGAAATTAAACCACAAGAAGTAAGAAATATCATCACAAATGATTGGCAGCAAGTTATACTTTTTTGTTCAAGTGGCATTTGATGACGGAGGCCCTTGCTTGTCTGAGGAGTGACAAATATTTTCCTTCATTTTAGGGGGAAAAATGTGGAAACCAAGGAGGTACTGTAATTCATAATTTTGTGATGTTGATAAACTTTCAAGCTAAAAATGTAATAATAAGATGGTAGTTAATTTTAGAGAAGTAATTTCACTTTCACCAGAAAAGCTAAATATTGCCACACCAGAAGAGACATACCATATGACCTCTACAACCTCTAAGAGAACAGCACAGATGTCGACAAGAGATGCGGAACACAAGCTACATGAACCACCAAATCCAAGTAAGAAAAATATTGTATATTATAAAATATAGTGCGAGTATATTTCCATGGATTTGATTACTTTTTTGTGTGTGTGAAATCCAATTAATGCTGACTTAAGATTTCCATCTACTATTCAGCAGCCTCAGTATAATCCATCTAGAAACTTCCAAAGACCATTTTAAGTCTGCCTTAAATTAGTATTCTGGTCTACATAATATGTAAATTACAGTATCTTACTTGATGATTAAGATTAGCTATTAAGAAAGGACTTTGAGCCTATTATTCTCTTTCAATTTAAAAAAATAGAGAAGATAAAATTGGAAACACCAGAGGTGTCAAGAGATGAAACATACACCACACAGCTAGCTGAACTAAGTCAAAGTAAGTTTCAAGATGTTGATATTATTCTAGGAGTGTTCTATTGTGAAAACAAGATTGATGGTCATGAGATAGATAGTGTCTTTCTCCAACAGAAAACCCAGGGGTGTTACTTAGGTTGGCGAAAATTATTATGCGGGACTAATCCCTATTCTTCCTATAGCAACTTAATGTTTTTTAACCAATTTAGTGAAACTAATTTGTCACCACAGTGTCAGGGCAGCGTTACCCCCACATTTGAAGTAAGTATTCTATTATAATTACTTGTTCAGGATAATCTAATGTTTTCTGTTTTGTAGAGACAAATCCATTTACTGCAGTGAATTGCCAGCAGGATTTACCCAATAATGAATGGTATGATCCGCTTTACAAATAATATTGTATATACTAAAACGATAATAACAGTTACTGGTACTGGCATTTATAACACGCCTTTTCCTTGTGGTTATAGAGTGCACGCCAAATTTCATTGTTTAGAGAAAGTAATAATGATTATGATGGTGAAGGTATTGAAACTAGATTGTGTGCCCACTGCAATAGTGCATGCATACCATTCCACTTAATTTTGACAGCGTAATGTTTACAATTAGCAGAAGTGCCTGGCCCAGCTGAGCGTTCAAAAATTTCTCGGTTGCAGCAGAATTTGTGTGTAGCAACCTTTATGGCACTGAATGTGCTTCATTCTGTTTATACAAAAAATTAGCAAGCAAGGGAATTTCACAAATGACTGGTGCTGGTAGTTGAGACTCATTAATTATATGACATTACCCACTAATTAGTATTTAATGTTATTAATTTATGATTCACCTAAATTACTTGTCAGAAAATCTAAATGGAATATCTGTTAATTATTATTAATTCAATTAACTGATAATCTTATATTTCAGTGAAAAACAAAACCTTCAAACACCTTCTGAGACAGAGCAAGTAGAAAAGGTTAGCAGTAGATATTAGTATATAGATTAACTTTAACTAGATAAAAAATATTTTCTACTCAAAATATGAACAAACTTTAGAAACTTTTAAAAGTTTTAATCATAACCATTATGTGTACAATTTAACCAAAACATAGACAAATATAGTAGTCCTAAAGAAGAATTTTTTTTTTCTTTTCAAGATTTAAGCTTTAGTTTGATATATGTGAGGTCTCACCACGAAATGAGAGCATCGTTAGTGAAATCATATTGAGATATTCACCAAAACAGGCCAAAGTCAACATTTTTACAAAATTTTGATTTTCATGTTTTTTAATAACTTCATATTTATATTTTATGATTGTATACAAAGGGAATTTTCTTGCCAAAACAGTGTTTCTGCACATATTCTGTAATTCTAGTCATATTATTTGTACAGGTTAGTTTATCTTTGAGGCTGATTTTCTCAAAATGTGGTTCTTATACACCTAAACTTTAAATGCTCACATCTCTGGATTTACTTACAGTAGGGAAGCCATTCCAAGACCAAATGAAATCTTATAATGTGATCTACCCAAATATAATATAAACTCAATTTTTTAATTTCTAACCATGAGACTCATTCTGTGGGGAGACCTCACATATATGGAAAGGTATATATTTCATCTACAATCGTAGATGTGCACTACTAGAATTCAAACAATTACTAAACAAGGTTTCACTGGTCTTTGGTCTTTTATTATGTATTTCTTTCTTTCCAAAGAACCAATACTGTGAAATGTAACAGTTAAATATAAAACAAGTGAATTACACAGACTTCCCAAGTTCACAGAAATTTGCGGGTTTCCCAGATTTTTATGGCGTTTCCCCAATTCCAAGAATTTTTACAGTTTTTCCCAGAAAATATATAATTTTCCTTGTGAATATCAAAATGGCTACTAAGTGTATATTTTCAATAATTAAATAACATTTTTCTCTTCAAATAATTAGGTTACCTAATTTAAAAAACTGCATGCCTTTGCATCACCACCTATATTCAATAAAACCATAAAATGACTCATTTTGCCTTGTTTGCACTTACAAAAAGCGGACTACTACTGTTTCAGTTAAATATTTGTAATGGCTTTTGGTAACGGCATGACACACGTTGCATTAACATGTCATACATGTAGTTAATACACCAAAAAAATAACCCAGATGTCATACATGTAGTTAATACACCAAAAAAATAACCCAGAAATTTCACTTCAATAAACGACAAATTGCACAGAAATTTCACTTCACCAACTTGGGACTTCTGATTACACAACTGTAATATTTTAGTGATTTTCTTTACAACCATTATACACTGTATTCTGTTATTTGAAAGGGTCACATTAGAACACAATACACCTTGTGGCCCAGAGGCGAGATTGTGTGTATATGTGTAATACAAAGTTATAAACGAATCTCTGCTACAAACTTTTCCCTAGGTGTAGGGTATAATTTAACATGTACAATATATGATATATTATGTTTACAGATAAAACAAGTTAAACAAACAAATCTGATACAACTGGAGAAAATTATGAACCTTAAAGTTGAATTGGTATGTACATTTGATTGATTGATTGATTGATGGATTGATTGATCCATTTGCTTTTTTGTGTCTATGCCCCCTCGGGGGCTAGACATTACGTTGTTGTTGTCTATGCAGTTAACCCTGTAAGATCGAGTAAATCCGGTATGGAGGAATGATGGTATGAGTCATGAGCTAAAGATAAAAATGAATATAAGACCCCCTAGAAAGTTCAATAAAAAGTCACAACATTAAACAATACCACACATTTCCTGATAACCGAATTCCCATGAGGATTGTGGAAATTTGTAGTAAAAATAATACCTAAGGCAGTGTAGGGCATAGACACATGTTCCCACTGGGAGCCTATTTTCTTTATTATGTTTTTCTAATTGTATTAGTGTGTATAATAAGAATATACTTTATTATTACTCTTATTAATGATACTAGAGGCTGCGCTCTAGTATGTGAACATTGCGATTAGTTTTGATGAAAAGAACAATATGACCACTAAAAGAATATAGGTTGTATGTTGCATGTTATTTCATTCAGTTATTTAGTTACATAATGTCAGAAATGTAGTTGAAAGATCATGAAGTATCTTGTATGTTTTCCCCTTAATTAATTTGAAATATGGATTGATATTCACTTCGGGAGAGATTGAGACTTGATGATCTATGTTGTTACAGTTTTTCAGACTGGTAGGTTTCGAATCCTAGACGTTTATTGGGGACCTTGACTTTGCATTGTGATCTTAGGCTTTGAAGCGTATTATAATATAGATTAACATTATTTTTTGTGTTATCATTATTTTGTTGTTATTTAAAAACTTTGACATTTATAATCGCATGGCAGTTGCATTTTTTATATTGTATGTTTAGGAGATGCTCAAGAAAAGAAAATCGATAAAGGAGCAGAAAAGTCTGGAGAAAATCAAACAAGAAATTATGCAACGTAAGAAGGTACTGAGATTAGTGTTTCTCTTCAGTCTGCGACTACAAAGTCTTAAATACAACTACGGTACTAAAGATCAGTGTCTGACTGATGCCTTGGCGGATGAGGTGAGTTGTTGTTTTGTAAACTTATGTGGTGCAAATTTTTGCATCTTATTCTTGGAAATATTTTTTATCAAAGGTACATTAATTTAATTTTAATTAAGTTGTTGATAGGAAGGCAAGGGCTGCACAACTTATAACCTTAACATCAGTTCGTTGCTTACAGTTTGGTAACTTCAATTTATTTGATTTCATTCGGAAAAAAGCCATAAATAATCAATGTCCAATTGCATTGCATGTTTTTGGGATTGCATATCATAATAATACTTGACTCTGGAAAACATATTTTACTCATGAAAATTTTTAGCAGTTTTAAGGTATTATTAAAAATATTTTCCCCCTGTAATATTAATATTTTCAATTATTTTTAAAGCCTAATTGAAAAGACAAGGGTGGTGGGATGCATGTTATTGGTGAAAAGTTTGAGTTTTAATTAATTTTAAAAGGGAACATGCAACAGTAAGTTTGACTTGCTTCAATATTCCTGGTTTAACTTAATAGTAAAAATTGAAAAAGACGAACTTTGTTTTATGACAAAAAGAAAATTTCAGTACTTTTTCAATTGTTTTTTTTTTACCCAAGATGTTGTCATGTTTTAAGTTTAAAATTCAAATTTTTAATTTCCTGTTTCAGAAGATTTCTGCTGTTTTTATGCATAAATTTGTCATGTACAATATATAGAATATTTTATATGTTTACAGATAGAACAAGTTCATCAAAAAATCGAGATACAAAAGAATAGTGTAAGGGAACTTGAAGATGAACTGGTGTGTAAATTCTGTTTTAATATTGATTGATTAGGTTATCCATTTCCTGGATCTGTTGTAATTCATATTTTTATACTATTGTAACAATAATGTATTTCTTTGTAATATCATATTTGTTTTAAATACACAATATTCATTAGCAGATCCAGTTCAGTAGTTGGGTGGGAACACAGTTTTGACATCGATTAAATCTTCATCTGTATCACCTGTTGATCTACTGTATATATGCCTATTTAGAAACCACTCACAAATTTAGTATTAACAAGAATGGTTACCCCCAATAAATTGTTAAATTGAAGATTAATTTGTATCAAAAATAGGCAGGTCTGTATCAATGAGGTTGGAATAGGTGCATACCCTCCCCTTCATGAAATTATTTTTAAATTTTCAAGCAGAAAGAGTGGAAAGAAGTGTGCAAGGCTTTCCGCCAGGAAGAACTGGGCCATGCTTTTAAACAGAAGAAAATTGATTCATGTTGAACCTAGGAAAACCCACAGTTTACTAAAATAATTATATTAATGCAGTGTTCTCTAGAAGCTGTTTTAGCCGTTGATTTTACGGGTAAAAATAACCGGCCAACCATTAAAAATGTTGTGTTTGTAAACTAAAAAAAAACTACTGATTAGGCCTAGATAATCCAGACTGGCCATCTTTTCAATAAATGAACATCAGTCCAGCCTGTAAGAGGTAATGCCTCAGGCTGCAGCCATAGCTGAATTTTCTGGAAAGATTTATCAGTAAAAATGTTTCAATTGGAAGAACACTAATGTGTCCAAAATTAATATCAACTTTGTCTGCTAAACAATTAAAGAATGTATTTGGCACATCGAGAGACAACACTACTGTCGTGTAATTTTTTGTTTTCTAAACACCCGGAAGTAACCTCTTAAGCGTTTTGGGCAATCAATATTTCTTTTTCTTTCTTTCCCTCCGCTTGGACCGCAAGCTTACCATTCTCGGCTGCCTATGCTTATTACACCGTCTTCCACTATTGACACATTCTTTCATCCCTAGGAGCAAGTCTTTCATAGCTTGCGGTATACATTACACCACAATTTTTGTTTAGAATGTCTCCAATAAGAACAAATACTGCTACACATAAAAATCACATAATATTCTTATAAAGTCGATGGATTGATTAACTGCATATAGTTTATTAATATTATTAATTGAAATCCGTATGTTGTATTAGGAATTGTTATTGTAGGTTTTGTTGATATTTTATGTTGTTACTTTTTTAATTCTCTCATATGCTGTACAGTACTATATAAAGATGTCCAAGATAGAAGACTCTATTGAAGTGCAGAAAAATCAGGCTAGAATCGAACAAGAAATTGAGCAACGTATGAAAGAGGACAAATCACAGAGATTAGTGATTCAGAAATTACTAAGTCATAAGTGGGATCTTGAGACACAACATGAGAATTTAGAAAGGAGTATGGCTGATGCCTTGATGGACAAGGTGAGTAATGTTTATGAACGTTGAGGTATGCTGTTCCCTAGAAATACTTTGGACATCCAATTTGTTGATTATTTCGGATTAAGGTACAAAATCAACAAACAAACAACAAATAAACTAAAACATATTTGGGTACAATATGACATTACCATGCCCATATTATAGGTCCACATCACACAAATATGTCACTTGAAATTTGATAGTGGGCACAGAGCTTTAGAACAATAAAATTTATTATTTTCAAACTATCCGATGCCCCCCCCCCCAGGATACATCATACCACTTGTGCCGAACATGGATGGTCAACTGACCAAAAATAATAAATTTGAATATGCTTTGATAATGTTGGTAGCTCTAATGGTATTTCCTGACTTTTAAGGGTGGTGGTGAATGAACATACGTACAAAACACATTGTCAAGTCATTGTATGCCTTGAATAAAGTTATATATATTTAAAAAATGTCAATATTATTATTATTTTCATATTAGTCATTATATTTTTTATTGATTTTTTTTTTAATTGTCATAGGTATTTATGTTGTTATTACCATTATTATCAATACATAGCATGACAGTTACCATTTGCCTACATGTTTAGAATATGTTCAAGAAAGAAGACTCAAAAGGGGAGCTCAAGAAATATGATAAATTTGAACAAGAACTAATTATGCAACGCAAGGAGAAAATATTTGTGATTTGTTTCTGGCTGCAACTACGAAGTCTTCAAAGCAACCTTGAGACTAACAGTCAACATACTTTTGATGCTCTATTAATGGGCAAGGTGTGTATGTAAAACATTCTGTGAGAATGAATTAATAATTCATTTTAATGTGTCAATTTCTACAAAAGCAGGGGTCCCAAGCCTACTTCAAGTTGCGGGAGGCTATTGAAAAATTGGAACAGTCTTGCACACTCCTGCAAGAAAGCAGGAAAATCCAGGGGGAAAAAACCATCTTTGCATATTCATAATATCTGCATGTTTTTACTACTTTATTATCAGTTGTCTGATGGAAAGCAATGCCGATGGTTATCACCATGCAGGGAAATATAAAGTTAGTATTCAAAGAAAGCTCATTATAACAAAATCTCCTATAAGTGACTTCTTCCTACTTGGGACCACTGCAAAAGCCAGTATCTGCTAAACTATCACAACGTCATTTAATAAACTTCTTAGTTACAAAACTAGTAATTAATGACCCTCATAATGACGATTTCATGAATGTAGAATATCAACCACCTGAAACTGTTCTATTTGAAATCGAAATACAGTTGCGATGCTGTGCTTATCTGCGATTATCAACCAATGATAAGAAAACTGTTTATTGATTTTCAATAGAAACACACCCACGGAATAAGAATGTCACTCCGAAAAGTTCTATTGACCCATTTACTGAAGAAAGATTAATAATATGTATACCTTATATACAATTAAAATATATAGTAAACTAGATTTGAACTTGTCACTAAAGACGAGTTTGGTGATCCGCTATACTTTGACCCTTATAAAGCGTGCGCGGTGCTGATTGATAAGTTTCATAATATGCTAAAATATTCTGTACAACTAGTGTTTTAAAAAAGAATAATTTTCAGCATTTTAAAAGATTTACGCATGCGTACACGTACGGCTTGACGCCCGTGAGCACGGTAATGGCACAAAGAGTGACTTCTGATATGAATACAGTGTCAGGAACACAAAATATGTAACAAAACGTGATTTCCAGTTTCGGTACGTTCTGTGTGCGTGGAAATGAACGTATGGCGCGTAAATATGGAAAGTTTTGGAATGCAGAAAATGACCCGAAACGT